GCTTTCGGCTGCTTAGCGTCAGAACAGTGTGACATGTGGCTCAGTTAATTGCGGAGTGAATTCCAGTCCTGCAGACGTGAGGCTTGGCTTACCTCTCTGGGACCAGCACGGTTACTGTGTAGTACACAGGTGCAGTCATGGAGGGTAAGAATCGGGTTAAGGTTGGGCTTGCCAATACTATTCCAAAAGCTGTGACTTTGTCCTGCATCACACTCTCTCAGAAAGCCCTCAGGACAGGGAAGGAAGGTTGCTTTACCAAATCCACTTGGTTATGGTCTTGTGCATGGAGTGAAAATTTTCCAAGGTGGTATGTCAGAGATTGTGAATACTTGGTTTAACAGTGTCCCGTTTATTAGTTTGTAGCACACCTGTGGTTGCTGGTGACAGAAGAGCTGGTCAGAAAAGGCAGTGGGAAGGAGGAGATTGTGTGCCTCTTGTTAAGAGAAACGTAAAAATTGGTATTCTAGGAAAAGGCTTCCCAGCTGGTAGGGGACTTGTGAGTTTATCAAGCACTGACACTGAGTGAATGGAAAACAAGGGGTCACTTCAGACTGAGATTTAACGTGCTGATAGCTCCGTGGGGTCAAACTGATTTTTACAGTGTTACAGTAGAATGTGGAATACCAGAATGAAAACATTTCAGCAGAGATTTGTGTGAAGTGTGCGTGTGTACAACAGTGTTTGGTCTTTATTTGAAAATGTAAGCTTGCTTTTTTTTTTACATTTTAATTGAAATATGTTCTGTGTTCTAGGAGCTGGGAAAACAACACTTCTAAGTTACATACTGACAGAACAGCATGATAAAAGAATAGCAGTAATTCTGAATGAATTTGGAGAAGGTATGTAAACTTGCAGGAGCCTCTTTTTGGCCACAAAATGACAAATATATAAAATTTCTGGAAATCAAGAACACTGTAATTTTAAATTCATTGCTGAAATTACTGACATAATCTTCAGAAGGGCAGAAAGTCGCTTTGCTGGTGTTCATAAAATAATGCTATGCGTTAATCCGTCTTGCACATAAATTCAGGCCCTCAGAGTAAAGTAAAAGAATATACCACCTGTTGGCAGTGCTGTGCCTCCATTTGTCCATTTGTGCAAGTGGAAATTAATAACTTGTTGGTAGATAATATTTTATTTCCTTTCCTCTCAGCCATGTACAGATCACAAATTATCCTAGACCAAGAAAATGGGGACATATGTGCTTGGTGTCTGTGGTTCTTTGAACTCTTTGCTTTCAGGATTTTTAGCTGCTATGGCTATGATTACATATTTGTACCGTAGTCAGCATTGCTTACAGTCTGCACTGTGTTGGTGGTGGGCTTTTTGTTTGTTTGCTTTCATCAGCAAAGGTGCATGCGACTTTTCTGGTCATGGAGCCTCCAATAAAATGTACAGACAGAGTCTTTAATTGATAAAGAGCAACAGGCTGACTTCCCTTTCTTCAGCGAAGTCTGCGGCTCTTACGATGTACCATCATCCTGTGGGCTTTGATCTTTGTAGAACCAACCTTACTTTGCCTTTTTAATTCCTCATAACATGGGAAATAGTAATTTCTGAAGAACATGTTAAAAGCGTGGTCTCAGAAGAAAAGAATATAATCCAAGAGTAAAAATGTGTACCAGCTTGAATCTTTCTCTCTCTCTTGCAGGCATTGTCATGCAAACTTGTAGATTAAAATTATAGTACTACTTATATTTTCAGGAAGTGCCTTGGAGAAATCACTGGCAATCAGTCAAGGGGGAGAACTCTATGAAGAATGGCTGGAGCTCAGAAACGGCTGCCTGTGCTGTTCAGTAAAGTAAGGAAGGACTATTGTACAAGTTCTTACAGGGGCTGTGAGTGGAATTGAGGAAAGGAGAAGACATCCAGGCTTTGATTCCTAAAGCTGGTGTTGGTATTGATTGAGATTCCTTTTATCAGATAAAACAAGAATTGGAATTCAGGAGATAGAAATTTATTTCCTTTTGTTGCCTTACTGGTTTTTACTTAGTGTCTTTCAGAAAAATAATCTCAATACTAACTTAAACACCACTGGGGTATTGTAGAGTAGGGAGATATCCCTCTTCTGTTTGTATTATGTGCTTTTGTATGGAGATCTAAAAATTCAGAGAGGCTGGGAGTAGGACTCAGGTTTCCCAATTTCCACATTAAATGCTTACTCTGTGTGTTGGTTAATACTTGAATGTTGTATACCTCAGAAAGGGTTGATGAAGAATGTGTTGTGACCTAATGAAACACAGTACTCGAAATTGTCAGCTGATGGTAAAGTTAAAAAACGGGAGTACTTTGATGTATTTTTCACCCTGTTTGTTGGAATGCTGGATTCTTTGTGCTAAGTTTGTAAATGAGGTCATGACCTGTCTGTTCTGACAATTTGGAAGAACTGGTCCTATTCCTTAAATAATAGTAGATTGTAAGTGGAAAAAAAAGACCTTCTGCATTGTGTTCTGCTGGGGTGTAAAGAATGCTGCTATTGCTGCTATGTTTTATATGCATTGGTTTCTTACATAGAATGGTATACGTTTCAGCTTCAGGTTGACTTCATCAGCTGCAGTTTAAGTAAATGGCACATCTTAATTTTGCTGTGGGTGAGGTGGAAAGGCAGGACAACATGGTTCAGTTCCACCCTGTCCCTTCTTTTTGTCATCTCAGCTGCCAAAACAAATAGTGACATATCTACATAGCCCTGCTGTCCTTTACAGGGTGTTTAGTGTTTGAAAACAAATACTCAATGAAGTCACCTCTGTTATGCCTGTTGGGAGCAGGCAAATGATATTTTCAGACTAAAATGAAACAGAAAACTAAAGTGCGCTTAATATTAGAGCAACAGCTTGATGACTAATTTTTTGTTGTAGACTAGCTCCTGACTCAGGTCTTTGCTTTGATGGTACTGACACTATGTTCTGCATCAGAAGATGCACTTTAATACATGTTTTAGCTTGTCTTCTCTGTTCTCAGGTTTAATTGTTTCTTCTTACAGGGACAATGGTGTGAAGGCTATCGAGAACCTAATGCAAAGGAGAGGAAAATTTGACTACATACTGTTAGAAACAACTGGTTTGGCAGATCCAGGTAGTTCACATTATGGTTTTCATAATCATGATAATTTTTCTGTTTTTGTGAAGTGCTTATTTTCTCACCAGTCAGTTCACTTTGCAAAATGTAATATAAAGTGGTGAGTTATCAGGCACATATGTTTTGTGTGTATGCTCCAACTGAATTGGATATGGTGCAGATGTGGGGTTGTGGATGGGTTGTTTGGTTGGGTTTTGTTTTGTTTAACTTGATCTAAATTGACTCTAAAGATTAAAGGAAATCCAGTTAAAATACATTTCTGTCAAGAGAAGACACTGGGCTTAGGGAAGAGAAGCACTAAATAAACTAGTCATTTTCAGTAGACTTTTGATGTTCTACGTGGGTCCTTTAAAGTATATTTTATTAGCATCTGATATATTTACACTCATTATGATAGACCTTACATTTTATGAAGTCCTAAAATACTCTGTGAAACAGACCAGTATAGTCTTCTGGGAGTTACAGAGCAATAGCTGAGTTTACAAGGGTTTTGTGTGCTCTTTAGTGATACTTAGTATAAAAAGGTGTTTAAACTTGAGCTCATGTTAGTAATAGCTATCTAAAGCAATTTTCTCTAAACCCTCTCAATTAAAGCTGTGTCATTGATGGAGAGTGAAGGAAATTTTTATCAGAAATTCAATTGTTTCCCATTTAGGAGACTGATGCTTTCCACCTCAAAGCTAAATAGTTGTCATGGTAAAGTAATTTTCTTCAGAAGACAGGACATTGATTTGGCCTCTGTTACACACAAATTCTGTTTGAGTCAAATTGGAAAACTATTAGGCTTTTTGGAAAAAAGTAAATCAATAGATTCCAGAAAGCCATTGCATGTTGTGGCCCATGCTATATCTTGCATGAGTAAGCACTGTGAAAAACAGACAGGTATTTAGTGTAGGTACAGAGTGATGTTTGGAGGACTGCATCTTATCATGTCAGGTGGACAGCTTTAGGTGTTGGAATGACTCTAGTTACTGATTTATTTATTTCTTTTCTTCTGATATGCTCAGTAGTCTTAGCCTGATGGGACTTAGAGCTATCTGGTCTAGTGGAAGGTGTCCCTGGCCATGGAGGGGGCTTGAAACTAGTGTGTTTTACAGGGCCATTTTAGCAGAAAACAAGAGTGCCATGCTCCTAGGCCATGTGTAGTACACAGGTATCAGGTCACAAATTCCAAGTCCTTGATAGAATATGATCACAGTTGTCCAAATACTTGCTGATTCTTTTTTTCTCCAGACTTGTCATTTTAATATGTGCCATTTTACAAATTAGTATACAAAAAAGAGAGAGCACTATGTGTTTCATTATTCAGTAGCACCTTACCTGCATGGAAATTCAGTGTATATCTCCTGTTCGAGTGGGGGGAGGTGAGGGAATGGGTCTGTGTGCCATGACCTGGAAGCAGTGGCTGAAAGCTGAAGAGGGGAAGTACAGGATATTTAGAAATGACGGAGCCTTGGATGTATAGTAGTGACAGATAGTTGATATTACAGAGTAAAGGTAATCTAGACAGCTTGCATGTATCTGAAGCAGTGAGATTTTTACAGCTTTTTGTAGTTGTAGCTGCTGATGTGCACACCAGTGTAATGCTTTGGTAGCTGTTGTTAGGTCAAGTGTGTGGCCTGGCAAAGGGTACTGAACATCTATGATGCTTTCCGAGTTTGAAGAGAGAAATTTCAAGTACAGGACTACAAATAGAGTTTTTCTGTGAAATATCTGAATATTGGTAGTTTACTGGAAAATGCAACTGTACATATACTGGATTTTATAGGAGCTGTGGCCTCCATGTTCTGGGTTGATTCTGAGCTGGGAAGTGACATCTATCTTGATGGTAAGAAGTGGAAGCTTGTTTTCCAGTGTATTGACATTCCATGTCTGGACTTAGTGCAATGTATTCTTAGCATTTAAGGCAAGGTTTCAGAAAATGTTTGAAATGCATGAACTTGGTTCTCATGTCACCAGATCTGACCACAGACTTGCTTATTCGGATGTTTGTTTTTCTACCCAGTGAGCTGTTTCAGTTTGCTAAATCCAACAAAAGTTGTGTAATACTTTACTGAGAGAGCACAGATCTTGATTGTGGTGTAAGAGAGGAAAAATCCTCATTAGCTAGATGTTATAAAACACTATTTAGGAGTAATATTTACAATACTTTTGGGTTTTTTTAATTTTTTTTCTACCCCCACCTCCCCTGCTCAGTGTTTCTTAAATGGTTTCCTTTTTCCTGAACTTGTAACTTATCAACATCTGGATCCTTCTGCCTTTTGTTTTTTGCTTTCTTTGCCTACTGTATTCTTGTTAGCTCTACTGTTTGCTGTGTTCTCATGAAAAATGTAAGTTTACTGAAATAATCAGTATATGTAGTTAAAGAGCATTTCTTTTAATGTAGGAAAAACATTACTTTTTGGCTTAAAAAGGTGTCCTATCAATGCTTTGGTCAGTCTGTGAAATAACTGTTTAGCCAAGGAAGGAAACACTGAGTTGAGTAAGAAAGAACTTCCTAAGTTTCTGTCAGATACTTAAAAATTCCCAGTCACTCCCAATCAGACTAACTGCATACCTCAGTCATCCCCTTAATGTTGTCAATATCATGTAAAAGCATTCCTCTGCCAATTTCCTGTTGCAGAAGAAGGAGAAACATCCACTTTGTGAGAATTTATCTCACCTGGTTTTGTAGACATTTTGTTACCACAGATAGGAGTAACAAAAGTATATTTGTGTGGCAAGTCTAATGTTCATATGCTTTCAACGCTTCCAGTTTATTGTAACCAGTTATAAATGTGCTGCTATTGTTTCTTCTCTAGTTGTACAGGAAGTTTACAAGTTGTCAGACTGCTAGCTGCTTTCAGCACCATTTCTATTTATTTTTAATGTTTCCTTTTAGGTGTTGTGTCTGTTGTTGATGCAAAGCATGGTTTGCAGGTAAGTTACTGGACTTGTTTCATGTTTAAAACTGCAGTGTTAGAACAGCTTTTTGCAGTAATGTTCGTGTTACAACACTGAATGAAGATGTATTTCATTAGTACTATATTTTGAATGGGAACAAGGAAGGACTGATGTTCATAGGAATTCAAATACTAACAGAGCAACATGTCTGCTAAGAGTTGTCAGTGTGGTAAGACGTGAATTAAGGCTCAGACTGGGAAGGTGCTAATGTAATGGCAGCTGTGGTGAGGAGAGACGAGAGCACAGGTGTCCTGGTACTTCTTCATATTAAAAGATGACTGTTAGATGGAAGCAGATGAAGTGTGATGTAAGAACAGACATACAGAGCAGTGAGCTTGGATAACAGCAAAAATGGTGATCCCATCAGAAAGTTCAACTCACTTTTTTTTTTAATAACTAGGTGTAAATATTTGCAACTTAATGAAAACACATGAGGTTCTACTGTTTTTTAATCTATATATTTCCCAGGCGAATTAATTCCACTTTTTGTGTCTTGAAAACCAAATTTTAAAGTAATATTCCTGGTACATTTAGAGCTGGTGAAGGAATTCACAGGACTCTAATCTTCTTGGAGATGTAAGTGCAAGTGGCAAGTTCTTACTAATACTGCAGCATGAGTTTAAAGTTTTAGTTCTGCCAGGTGTCTGTGGCATTCCTCTCTTGGAGATTGCTGCCTCCATGGCAGAGTGGGCAGTAAATAACTTGTACCTAAACCTTTGTTGCTTCAGCATAGTCTGTTGCTGTGCCTAAATGAAGTTGGCTTTATGTTGCCAAACCTCATGCTGCTGCTTGAGATGCAGGCATTTTTTTCCCTTTAACTAATTCTTCTTTGAGGACATTAGGTTGGGCAGACAGGTATAGCACAAAACTGCAGATGATGCTGAACTTCTGTAGTGTGACCAGAAGCTTCTGATGTTGGGCAGACTTGGGAAGGAGTAGTGGTTTATTCATGTAAACCTGGAAAAAGAGTTGCCAGATTTTGCTATCAACGTACAATTTGTCAACTCAGAGAAATGGAGTATGAAGTTATATATATGAAATACTGTTCTGCAAGCCTAACCCATCTTTAACAGCTAGTGAGATCACATTAATTTGTAAAATTCCAGAACTTTAATTTTTTTCATATATATTTTTCCATGATTTCCATGGTGACTTTTGCTTCATCACAAAGCTGAAAGGTAATTAAAATAAGTAGAATGTAGTTTTCCAAGTCTTTAGCATTCTAATAATAAAATCAATTAAAAGAGTTTTCATAAGAGAAATGATAAGGTTCTGTGATGGTGAATGTATAAAGGTATGTTTTCACCATCATTTTACAGAAAAATTCTAGATGCCACTATCTTCAATACCTTGCTGAAAAACATATCTAAGCTGAATTGGGTTTGACTTCCTTTAATTGCAAATTAATTTAAATGTAATTTGAATATGATTAATCCAAATATTTTAATTTTTGTCTAGCACTTGACAGAGGAAAAGCCAGAAGGCCTTGTCAATGAAGCATCTCGGTATGGATGGCAAAATTAATTTTATCTAGCACAGTTAGGAATTGTACTGTATAGAAGTTCATTGGAAGTGGCTTCTTTTTCTTTCATAAGGCTGTTTTCTCCCCCCTTGCTTTAAACCAAGGTCAATTGGTGTAGTGAGGTAGGAAATAGAAAGGTGACTTCATTCTCTGATCTTTCTGCCACAATCTGACGCTTCTAATGCCATTTTAAGAGGGTTTGGATTTTATGTAAGTGAAGAGGAAGGACCTATGTTGGGGAGAAAAAATTTCATGTTAGGATCTATCAGATGCTTGAAGTAGAGCTGGAGACTGAGGAATATTTTTTGCTAGATGTGACTTCATAAAACGAAGAGACTTCAGGTATCACTTTACAAAGGCTGTATGCAAGAGAGATTGGGAGTTGTGAACTTGATAGATCAATGAGCACTTTGGATTAGATGACTTAAAAATACCACCAAACAAACAAAAAAAACCCAATCCTGAAACAAAACAAAATCTGGCAAGCCCTGGTAGGCTGGTAGACTTAGCTTAGGGCACGGAAAAACATCTCAAGATGAAGCCAGTAGTATTTTAATCATACGCCATGGTGTTCTGGTTTGATTAATGCTTGCGCTTCTGTATAAACATGTCATACTATTTTTTGGTGCCCTGGGAGAGATGATGTTTCTGCCTTACAGATAAGTATATGTTTGTTCATACTGTCTTCTGTTTTTTTCCCTTAATACATAGGCAGGTTGCATTAGCTGATCTCATAATCATCAATAAAACAGATTTGGTTTCAGAGGAAGAATTGAATAAAGTCAGAACCTGTGTCAGGTATGAAACTTCTGGCATAACTTTAACACTGTGCTGGCTCAAAAGTTACTTGAATTTAAACAGAGTTATTTGCTTCTCACTGTTAGTACAGAAATCAGATCTCATGATTACAATGACAAATTGTTAGCATATATGGGAAAAGAGACTTTGTCTTCTGAAGTTATTTCAATACTTCTGTGTGCTTACACAATCTTAGCAGTTTGCCTATTTAGGTAAGATGTGATGTTGTTTACTAAGGACAGGCCTTTGTCTTAAATGTCCATACTTTTACATTTCTGGCCAGCTGTTGCCATTTTTCAGAATTAGCATCTGCTAAAGAATCTGCAAATGGAAAGATTTGTGGAGGAAGTTGCTAACAATTGTCATGGGAGCAGAAGAGCCAATGGTCTGAATCAAATTAGTAGTCAACGACATGACTCATCTTTTTCTATCAATACCATGATAAGATTTGTAAATACTTTACAACTGTATTAGTTGTTTGAAATCTGAAATTTAAAAGGCTTAGACCCTGCAGAGTGTATTGTGAAGAGTCTTGGATAGGAGAGTGCTGTCCTCACTGGTAGTGTCTGGTTGCCAGATAGGTAAGCTCCCAGCTCTTACTTAGGAGATTAAAAAGTTGTAAAGTCTGTTAGGACATCTGTTAGTTTGTTCAACAAGTTGGTTACAGAATTGTTATGCTAGTTCTCATGCTGCTGTCTGTGGTTAACATGTTCAAGCAATATATCATGAGGGTGTTTTAATCTAACTAATGATTTTTCTATTTAATTTTAGGTCAATAAATGGACTTGTTAAAATTCTAGAGACACAAAGATCAAGGTATTAAATGGCCACTATTATTAGGTACTAGATCCTGCTTCTTTTGTGATAGATTTAAGTATTCTATTAGATCGGCTTGCTTAAAGGGAAAATAAGGGAAATAAGTAAAAATGTGGGGTTTTTTGGATATTTTTCTTTGTCAGTGTTCACATCACAGAATCACAGAATGGGTCAGGTCAAAAGGGACTACAGGGGGGCATCTGGTCCAATGTCCCTGCTCAAGCACATGGCACAAGTTTGCATTCAGATGGTTCTTGAATATCTTCAGTGAGGGAGAATCCACAACCTCTCTGGTCGACTAGTCTGTTCCCGTGCGCAGTCGCTCGCACAGTAAGGAAGTTCTTCCTTGTATTCTGGTGGAACTTCTGTGCATCCGTTTCTGCCTCTTGTCCTATTGCTTGGCACCACTAAGAAGAGCCTGGCTCCATCCTCCTGGCATCCTCCCTTCAGATACTTATAGACACTGATGAGGTCTCCTCTTCTTGAAAGATTGTCTCTTTTTGAGGCTGAACAGGCCCACCAACCTGAGCCTTTCATCATAAGTGAGGTGCTCTAGTCCCTTAACCATATTTGACCTCCGCTGGACTGGCTTCAGGAACTCCGTGTCTCTCTTGTACTAAGAAGCCTAGAACTGGACACAGCACTCCAGATGAGGCCTCACTAGGGCTGAGTAGATGGGCAGGAGCACCTCCCTTGACCTGCTGGCAGTGCTCTTCCTAATGCATGCCAGGCTGCCATTTGCCTTTTCACATACAAGGACACACTGCTGCCTCATGGACAGCTTGTACTTCACTGCAAAGCTGCTTTCCAGCAGGTCAGCCCCCAGCCTGTACTGATACAGATGTAGTTTAGTTGACATCAACATGTTCCAAAAATGTAGCAGATATTTAAGGGAGTGTTATAGGTAGAAATTAAAAATGTCCTGTGCCTTCTTAACCAGATACTGTAACTGAAGAGCAGCTTGCAAGGCCAGGTTGTCTCCGAGCTAATAATTGGTCACGTGCATTATAGTGTTTTCTTCCTATTGTGTCTCTTATGGTGACTGCTGCAAAGATGTTGTTGCTACAAAATGACTTTGAAAGCAGTGGAATGAAGTTTATAAGAATGAAAAATGATTGCACTGGTTTTGCTATTTTTCATAGAAATTCTGACTCAGATTTCTTCTTTAATAAGGAGTTAAATGAATATTGCATTTCTAGGGACATGGGGAGAGCAGTGTATCTTCCAAACTGCTACGACTGATTTGTGTACTTTTGTGTCTGTTACTTGACTGTATTGTGATAAATGTTCCTATAATACAGGTTCTTGATTTAAGCAATTTTAAAAGGGAAAATAATAGACATAATCTTAATGAAGGCTTTTTAAAGTTATCCACAATGCACTTGGGGAAATTGCAGAGAAAAATACTTGCTCTTGCTGGGTGACGAGGTAGGACCAATTTTGAAGGAGATACTAAACTTCATACTTTGTGTCTTAAATGGCCATTAGGAAGAGGTCCAATATGTGAAGCATATCATTCCCTGGTGTCTGATGCCAACCAGCACTACGTTTTGCATATGAGATTAAGTGGAGCTTGGGTTCAATCCTCAATGACAACTTTTGTTACTTGTAAATACTCTTTAGTAGATGACAAATAGTGTCTCTTTCATAATTAAACATTCCAAAAGTGAAATAAGCACAAAGTTAGTTTATTGGAATGTTATTTGGGACCATAACATACCTTTTTTAATTAGGGGCATTTGCCCCTCGAAAGCAGCATTAAAAAGGGACTAATACTGCCCTTTCCTAAGAGTTTCTTGAGAAGTTTCCATATGATTTTTCAGAATGCTGCTGAGAACAAACAAATGCCACTGAGCTGGTCATGAATTTTACACAGGCATTGTTTATGTGTACAAATCTTTCATCTTAGAAACTGCTTTGTAAAGCTACTATGGAGTGTAAAAGTTTAATAGTACTGGCTACAATTCAGAGGTGTTTTTTTAACCTCTCATGTTCTTTTCATTTAGCCACGTATCATTAATTGTATTTGAAAAGCAGTGAAACCTGTAGTCTCTGTTGCTTTTGCAAAAGGTTTCTTATGCAAGTTTATAGGTAGCCATTCTTACAGGTAAGTATGATCAGTGCTGTCTGTTTTGTATTGTATTTTTCATTTGTCTGTTTCAGATGTTAGAGTTGAAATTCCTTGTAGTAGCACTTGCTTCATAGCACGTTTTGGTTTTGTTTGTGTGTTAGTATAAACTACATATATTCCAGAGATTTGTCTGTCTTGAGAGACTTGGGGTTCCTTTTCCTGTTTAGGGAAAATTAGTTACTATTCGGGCATCCAATCTAAGGGATTTTATCATCTTTCTTGGAAATACCTTGTGTTTTACTGTATTTTTTTAAAAAAAGTTTCTGAGCTTACATATTACTGTGTAAGTAAACACAGCATTTCCTTGTAGGAGACAGTACCAACCACAGACACCAAAAATACGCCTAAGTATTTATGGCATTAGTCTGACAGACAGGAAAACAAACATAAGCTTCAGTGAACTGCTTTAAAAAGAATGATTTAAGTATATGTGATATTTAAGTACATCAAAAATACAATGCTTTCTTCCCCCCCCCCCCCCGTTTAGGGTTGATCTCTCCAATGTCTTGGACCTACATGCTTTTGACAGTTTATCTGGAATAAGGTATGTTGATCATTTCACTGTCTTCTATTAGAGATAATATCCATTGTATAAATACGTGCATGAAACTGATTCACTCAAATCCTGGCTCAAATTTGCATCTAGGTTTCTGTTAGAAGTTCTAATTTAGTCACTTTTATAAAAATCTCACTTTATAAGTGGTAATATAAGACAGAAAACTAAACTGCAAAAAGATTTTTTTTGACCTTGTAAAGTTAAATGAACCAGAGTGTGCATGATTGGTCAGCTTTTATCCCCAAAGTGCAAGTTTTTGTTTAATACTAGTAATAGAGTAGATTTGTACCCTCTTTTCTGGTTCCCTTAAAGGATTTCAAAATTTTCTACTTCACATCATGATGAACTGGAGCCCTCTGTAGATTTCACAGAAAAGAATGAGGGACTGAGGTTCCACAGGAAGCAAAGACACTACAAATTGTGGTTACTGTGTTCCATGTTCTTGGAGTTTTTAATGGCAAATGTGTGCGTCAGCATGCTAGATGGGTGGAGAAGTAAAACTGGAAATGAAGGGTAAAGAACTTTCTGTTCAGTTTGTGTGCTGAAGTTG